TGGGAATCACTAGCCAGAAATGATTGTTCCTGGGGAGTATTTCTCCTTTGCACTAAATGTGACGCCTGCAGCACTAAGATCCCATCATAGCAGTAGGCAATTTTTGCCTCTGATCTGCATGCAGATGTGTCGGGTCCTGTATTTAATAATTAAATAAAAAAAACCCTCATTTTGTGGCACATCGCTGTAGGTGGATTAGTAGGTACCACTTCAAAGACATTAAATATGAAAGAAACCTTCATATTTTTAGTTGGCTATTCTGATGTAATATAATTTAAAACAAAAATAGTTAGAAATTTTTTAATTTTGGAAATAATTTTATTTTTAGTTTCTTTATTTAATTTGTATTTTCTTTTTCTTTTTCTTTTTTTTTTTTTTTTATAGAAATTTGGGATTTTATTTTAAATTTACCTTTTAGATTTTTTTAAAGATTTTTCTTATTGCATTTTTTTTTTTTTTTCTAGGAATTTTCTATTTCTATTGAACACAACAAATGTTTTCCCACTTCATTGTAATAACATTTACTATATGAAATATACATGTAAATATGACATTATTATGGGGCAAGTAGTATTTTTTATTGTCTTAAAATGTTGCCCCCCTCCCTACTCTCGGACCAATATAAAACATGACATTCTAAAAATGCCGTTTCAGAGAACAAATTTTTGGTTTGATCTTAACTTATAAAAGAATCAAGATATGGGACTAAAATTGCAATAAAATTGTGTAACTGGTCAATTGTTTATTGGATAATCTTTGTTTTATGTTTACAAATTTGTCTGTTTATCTAAAATAAATAAATTAGAAGCAGCATTTAACAAATCAAGTAATTTGAAAATCAAAGTTTCAGTTTATTTATATCCAGAACATCCTGTGACAACATTTTACAAGATGGAGGATGTTGACTTCCTTCTCTTAACCATTTACTGAGGAAAATTGTTTAAAAAAATTTTTTTTTTTTCCTCTTTTGTAGGGTTTTGAAGCATGCCATTTAAAATATAGAGGATATTATGTAATTCTTTAATTTGTTATGTTGTTTTTAGCACACTTTTCAGATTATTTGATTTTTAAAAAAAAAATAAGCAGCAGCAGCTTTATTAAGAAATCATATTAAAAAGACAATATTAAAAATTAAATGACAATTTCTTGTCCTAGAAGTTATGTTAATAGTAATAAAAATAAAAACAAGACTAATTGCACTGTTCTGAATGTTGTCCTCATTTTTATTGTCATATTCATGACATTTCAGCTATTGTACGATCCAGCCTTCCTCAGGTACAGTACATTAAAATTCCGGACCAAACCCTTTATTGCAGCCACCGGGGTAGATTATTTTAGTTCCACGTGTCATGCCTTTATCTGGATATCTCAATTTCAGTTAATTCTCCAGGTTTTGGTATTGAACTCACAACTCTTTGGGTCAAGTCACTGGATTAATTCAACTAATTGCTTTTATCTGCTGGGTCATATGTCCTTGGGGATATCAGTAAATTAATTTTTGTGACTTATAAACCTAATGTCTTGGTAACCATTTTTTTCACTAAAAAAAAAAAGTGGGATTAGATGAAGGGTTTGAGTTGAAATTCCAACACATATCACCTGAAGAAGGCTGGAGCATGGAATGGCCGAAACATTTTGAATATGACAATGATAAAGACAACAGTCCAAACAATGTAAATAGTTATAGTACCTCATCTTAGAAATATAGACAGTAGCCAAACAAGACATGAAAATTTAACTAGCCACTTGCTAAATATTAAGGAGAAAAAAAGCATTTAGGGGAGTGTTCAAACACCCCGGGTGCTAATGGAGTATTGAAGATTAAATGTTTTAAGTCTGTGACTGGATTGATGTTCTTACCTGATGAGATTTTTATTTTTCTGGAGTGAAATGGTTGTACAGGTGTTGCAAAGGGCTTTAAATGTAATGTACATGTGTGTTATTAATATATTAAATGTTTATTCTGTCTTTTGGGACATTCCGTGCTTGTATTTTCAATAAAATTGACCTCTTCACTTTTGTATTTGGTTTATTTTTGGCCCAATGGGCAAAAGCTTCATCTTTGTCTGCATTCCCACCCAACACATTTCAACCTGGGTCAAGTAGTACAAGAAGAAGAAAAAAAAAAATTCGTGTGTATATATATATATATATATATGGTTTGTGCCTAATTATCAAGTGTTTTTTAAACAATATTTATGATGAAACAATTCAACAATAACATTTTGAAATGGGCATGATTATCGACATGCAATTTTATAACCTGAAAATAAAATGTTAAAAAAGTAAGCAAAAAGCTATTTTTATTGGCAAATAAGTCACCTACAAAAACGCCTGATAATTATGCACCAACCTAATATATAAAAATATATATATATAAAGTGAACATTGAAGTCAACAGACAGAAGCGACAGGCCTGATGAGTGCGTCTAGCATGGAACTCTTGCCTCTGAGTGTTGACTTCAATGTTCACTTTTATATTTATATTTACATATGCTCTATCTCTGATATTGACCACTTTATCCCAGAAATATAACACACCTTTTTTTTTTTTTTTTCTTATTTTTATATATTTAGATGTAGCTTTTTTTTTTGTGGGGGGGGGAATTTGAAACACTTCAACTAAAACTACACACACAAAAAAAGAAATTATATAAAGATGTATCAAAATATAAATAGCAAAAAGGATAAGACTTTCTATTGTGAAAAATGTAGCTTCCAATCTACTACAGTTGAATGGTCAGTCATTCCATCATTCACTCCTTCGTCCAGTGGCTCCCAAAAAGTGCATCGGAAGAGGATAGCAGATAAGTCAGAATGATTAAAAGACAGTCTTAGAAACGGTTTGAAAAAATTCATATGCCAAAAATAAATACGATTTCAAAATTAAAAATATTATTATGGATTACTTGTAATTGCATGCATAAGTCACAGTATAAATAGTTATAAATAATTATTGACTGATTTTATCATTGTGATATTTTTGCATTATATCAAGTATTAAGAATATCGTAACTAGGGTCTGCAAATTGGATCAGAGAGTTATCAATGATAATGTTCTGACTTCGAATCTGTGGTTATCTCCCTTTAACTTTGTCTGTGGACCTTCTTTTTCTCATTTAAAAAAATGACCAATGGTTTAGATACTTACAGCTAATCAGATAGGATATTATCCACTTTGTCACAACTGATCCCAAAATCAGTTCCTGTCGAACCAAAGCCGCACATAAATTTTTGAGCTCTTAGGAAAAAAAAATAAAAAGAGGAAGGGTCGAGAGTAACTGGTTTAGACATTTTTGAAAGAAAGAAATGACATGAATCCTGGGGTAATGGGTGGATTGCTAGCCTACTGAGAATTTTCCAAAACCTGCAATAAATAAATAATTCTACTACTACTACTAAATTACTACTACCACGACAGAATAATAAACTGCAAAAAACAAAAATATAGGGGGTCTGTAGAGTGGAAGATAAATCACCCCTCACACACACCGAAGACACACAAGCATTTTTGAACACTGTCAAGGTTGGAAAGAGAATTAGATAGCTCCAATCCACATATAGCAGCAATACTCCATGTCCTTTCCTTTTATACTGCTGATTACCTTGCCACCTATCATGTGTTAAGAGAAGTCACCTAGGCGAGAACCATCTACCCCGTGGATGGAAGAAAGTGTTCAGTTCAATCTTCCAAGGAGGTTATCAAGATACCCACACAGGACCCACTATGCCAACCTAAAGAAGGCCTGATTGTATACTGGCCGAAATCTGACCACTAGGATTCTGATTCTTGTCTTGAGAAAATCAGTGTAATCGGCCATAGTTAAATGTAATTGATAGAAATGCCAAGCAAACAGAATTGATAAAGTTTACAATAAGGAAATAAAGAAAAGAACAGGGCACAAATAATACTGAGAAAACAATATATGCATGACAAAAGCAACAATAATGAGGCAAAAAGTTTACAAACTAAGAATGGCGTTAATACACAAAAGGGATACAGGCAAGTGATCACATCATTCTGACATGAAGACAAGAAAAAACAAAAATATAGTAGATGAAACCGAAAAGTGACCTATTGTATTGACTAGGGGAAAATCCCAGCATGCATCTGTTTTTGTTTATAAATTTGGTGACGGGATGTTTTTGCAGTATTTCCTCACAGGATTGGAAGCAACAATATTTCTAAAGAATTAATGGATTTATTTATAATCTGGCATTTTTATTACTTCAAGTGGACACTCGTATTTGAAACAGAAGCCCTACTTTTGTTTCAAACAATGTGTATCTCATGTATCTGTTTACGCAAACGAGAAATCTTAAAAACGGAATTTTGTCACCCACCTCCCAGTATATTACATACCAAGGAAATTTTGATCAAACACAGCCTCATATTAACTCAGAGAACATTTTAAAACGCAAAGTGCATAAAGAAATTATTTTAAGTTTTAGAAACTTCAGAAGAAAAGATCTTAATAAAAAAAAAGAATTCAATAACAAAATATTAAGCAAACAAACAATATATGCAAGGCAAAGCAACAGTTATAAGGCAAAGGAACATAAGGCAAAGCAACAGTAATAAGGCAAAAATTTCACAAAACTAAACATGCTGTTGGATGCAGTTTATCATCTTACCCAGGACCCATCTCCTTTTGTGTATTAATACCATTCTTAGTTTTGTGAATTTTTTGCCTTATTACTGTTGCTTTGCCTTATTACTGTTGTGTTGCCTTATTATTATTGGTCACTTCTCCATCTCATTCAACTCAGTTCTGATTTTTTTTGTCTTGAAGCCAGAACACCAAAAGCGCTTGTCCGTATTCCCTTTGGTGTGTTAACAGCATTTTTAGTTTTGTGGACTTTTTGCCTTATTAATGTTGCTTTGCCTTATTGATGTTGCTTTACAATGAATTTTTGAAGAAAAAATTATTACCAGCAATAAAAATCTTATTTGCATTAAATAATCCATAATGATATGCCGTAAAACAAACCAAACCAAATCAATGTATACTGAGATAGATAGATAGATAGATAGATAGATAGATAGATAGATAGAAAGAAAATATAACCAGCAATAAAAATCTTGTCGGCATTAAATATCCCATTGAGGTTGATTTGCCGTAAATGAAAACAAACCAAACCAATATATACTTAGATAGATAGATAGATAGATAGATAGATAGATAGATAGATAGATAGATAGATATAACCAGCAATAAAAATGATGTCGGCATTAAATAACCCATTGAGGTTGATATACCTTAAAACAAACCAAACCAATACATTTTTATAGCAAAATGACTAACAATACATTTTATAGTAAGATTGAAGACATGACATACTTTGTCAAAAAATAAAATAAAATTTTAAAATATTACCAGCAATGAATTTTTGAAGGAAAACATTATTACCAGTAATACATTATTACCAGTAATAAATTTTTTGAAAAAAATATATTACCAGCAATAAAAATTTTGTCGGCATTAAATAACCCATTGAAATTGATATGCCGTAAAACAAAATGAACCAGACTAAACCAAAAGAAGATACAGATAAGTGATCGCAGCTTTCTGGCTTCAAGACAAGAAATAACAGAACTGAGTTGGATGAGACCATGAAGTGACCAATCTTATTGGCTAGGGAGAAATCCCAGCATGCCTCTGTGGATTTTTGTCCAGTGAGGGGGATATTTTGCAGTCATTCCTAATGTTAATTGGAACCATGAGGCCAAATAAACTTATCATTGGTCAATAGCCATCCACTTCAGGTTAAATAAGCTCGCCAACCAGGAATTGACCAAACATGGTTAGTACAGTGTGTTCGTCGTGTCTGGTTTTTGCATGTCTACACGTTCAAAGTGTCTCCCTCGACGGAGGAAAATGGTATTATATAGCTCTCCCAGTCCCAGACCCACGCTGACTATTGGCTGATATCTACCCAGTATCGTTTAGAGACAAATAGTCAGTGCCACCTACTCTAAGTAGAACGTCTTCTCTCAATAGCCCATTGTGGAAAAGAATGTAACTCCTAGTACTTATAGCACCGCATACAACCAACTCGGAGTCTTTTATCGGGCTGACCTGACTCTCTGTTACATACGGCTACATCACTGAAGACACGGTCAGTTATGGAGGTGGGATTCCTCCAAACAGGAGTGAGAAGGCCTTGGACTTGGACTCCTAACATCTTTTCAACCAGCAATTAGTGTATAATAAAGTTTATGGCAGAAACATTTTGCTGTGAACTTGGAAAAGCTCCCGACTGCAATAATTGATCATGTCTTCAACATAAATTTCCAGGAGGCAATAACTTGAAAGTTTATGAATTAGTTTAAAAATGACAATAAACTGTTTCCTGTGTTAATGTCTTTTCAACGAAAATGTTAATCGTTAAAAGGCACTTTTAATTTTAAGGATCAAGATAAAATATGCAGTTACCATACTCTAGCTTTACAAGAGCCAGATCAGACCAAAAATAGACGCCGTGAGTAAGATGATAAACTACATCTGCATCCTGGGTAAGACGAAAAACTACATCCAACAGCAAGGTCTTTGATCAGGAGGTTTTGAGGAGCGTGGAAACCACCTCTTAATTGCTGGTGTTCTCAGGTCCACCCTGACCCGGGTGGTAGCACCTGTTAGGGTCCCAACTATGGGCAAATAGTTAACTCCCAACTGGGGCCAAAACATTATGAAAGTGTAAAAATAAGTTTTATTACCAGCAATATATTTTTGAAGAAAATAAATCTTACCAGCAATACATTTTGGAAGAAAAAAGACATTACCAACAATATATTTTTGGAAAAAATATGATCATCAATAAAAATCTTATCGGCATTAAATAACCCATTGAAACTGATATGCTGTAAACCAAACCAAACCAAAGATTGTATATTGTTGCTACATCTGGTTGATTCTGCACATTCCTTGCTTTTGGGCTTCAATACAATCCAAAAGCGTTTGTGTAGCCTTGTGGTCGATGAAATGTCTCCCACTCTGCAACCCCTTCCCTAGAGATGAAACGTTGCTCACTTCTTGCTAGTTAGAGGTTTGTTAAGCCTCTTGATTCCTTGGGGAACATAGGGCTGCCGGCTGCCTTCACCTCTGTGTCAACATTTCTGTGCCAAGTCTGATTTGGCCGACCAACTTTTCGCTTCCTTGTCAAGGGCCTGCCTGGTGACACTAAAAGCAGGCTTGTGGCGTGTGTAGCCAATCCAGCCCCATTTCTGTTTTTTTGATGTCAGTTTTAATTGGGGCTTGTCTGGTCCTGTCCCACAGTTGGTCATTGGAGACGACTTCCAGCTACCTGATATTGAGGATGAACAACAGAATCCAACAGCATTTACGTAGCCTTGTGGTCGATGAATTGTTTCCCACCCCTTCTCTAGAGATGAAACGTTGCTCGCCTCTTGCTACGCTGTGATTATTTTCATGGCAGAGATTCCGGACGAAGTATATGTCTTAGTTCCACCAGACCTGACAGGCACATCTAGGACCTGCCAGTCCGCATACACTGTGTCAACTCATCCCCATCCCCTTCGCATTCCAGTCAGCTTCTTTCCCCAAAACTATTGCATTGTGGAATGAACTCCCAAGATGATGCTTCCCTAACCACCACAACTTTAACCACTTTAAGTCAACTGTTATCTATTCTACATATCCTTATAATATGCACCGGTTGCTTCCTCTCTGTATGCCCTTACAACAACATCATTTAGTAACCTTCTAACTGAAGTGGCTCTTGAGCCTTGTATTGAGTGAACAAGTGGCATAATGGTAAGTGATTCAAAAGAGAAATAGGTGAGCCAAGTTCAAATTCTGGCTGAGGTTGTTGCTTTCATTTTCGCACAAAGAAAGGTATGAATGTATATAAACTTCCCACCAGCTATGGGTTAAATAGTAGGGTTGACTGCTCTTACTTTGCCTTAGGTGGCAACCAGTCTAGGAGAAGGAAAAATTTAAATTTAAAACCAGTCTGAAGAGAGATGGACTCCATCAGGCTACCTTGCCTTAGATACACCTTTGCTTCTATCTTGCCTTAGACACACCACTGCTTCTATCTTGCCTTAGAAACACCTTTGCTTCTATCTTGCCTTAGACACACCACTGCTTATACAGCTGCAGTACATATGGTACCTCTACAATCATGTATTAATGGGACTTGTGACATGACATCTGACCGAATTAATACCATTTTGGGAGAGCAGCTATTCTTCTTCTCTTATATGCCATTTCCCTTCAGTATGTTGGTGATTATGGATCTCCACAACTTCCTATTACTTTGTAGTCCTTAGTAAAGTTTGTCTTTATACTGTATCTCCCAATCCCTGTTCTGCGAACCATTTATACAAGCCAGCTATGTAGGTTATACATTGTTTTCTTTTGTCCCTCTTACCTTCAATGTCCTGTGAGCCTCAAATTTTCCAAGCCTTCTTTTCTCATTACATGCCCTAGAAATTTCAACAATCTCTTTCTGATGCTATGTATAAGTGTCCTTTTTGTTTTCTAAAACTTCATCGTTGCTCACATGTTCAGTACATGATATTCTCATAGAACTACATTTCTAAAGTTTCTTCATCTGTGAGATTGTCCAGGATTTGCTGTCATACAGGTCTGATATTGCATTACAGTTTAGTATTCTTTTCTTTGATTCTAAAGAAATTTTCCTGTTTCTAAATACTTTGTTTAACTTTTGGAAGGCATCTTTTGCTATTCCAACGTGCCTTCGGATTTCACTGTCGCATTTTCTGTTCTGTTAATATGCTTTCTAGATATTTAAATTTTTGAAATTGTTTAATTTGAGCATCCCCAATTTGTAATTCACGTATTGGGCTGTTCATTTTGTGGACAACCACATGTTCTATCTTTTTACAGTTGATGTTTAGTCCTTTCTTCTCACCTTCCTTTGCTACTGTGGAATCGTGATTTCCACCCTTTTGCGTGTGTTCCCTTCCTGTCACGTTCAGCTAGATATAGCAGTAAACGCTGACGTGAGGGAGGTTGCTGGCTAGCTACTGCTGATACCGTCTAAAATCAGAATTTGAATTTTTTCCCGCGCGTGTCCTGTCGTCATCGACGAACAGCGTTTTCAAGTTAGTCGCCGCCTGATTTTTAAACTAGAAGGTTGACTCATTTATTCCGTGCCCTTAACCCATACGCGGGCCGGAATATCTTAACTAACCAAAACTTCAACATGTCGTGTGATTACAACTTCTCTTCAAACAACTTGTTTGAACCTTCTTCCGTTTTTCTACTAGAAAACGTTGAGTATCGACACGGTCGATATCACACTTTTCCAAGATTTTTCCTCGTCTTGATGCGAACAGCATGTTGAACTTTCTTCCGTTTTCAGCTAGAAAGTGTAGAGACTACGACACTGTCGGCAATATATTTTCCAAGACCAAATTCCTCGTCTTCAAACATGTTTGAATCTACTTCATTTTCTACCAGAATCTACGACACCGTCGTCACCACACATTTCCAAGACCAATTCCTCGTCTTGATGCGAACAACTTTCGAACTTTTCCTCTTTTCCCTACCAGAGTTCTACGACACTGTCGTCACCACACTTTTCCAAGACCAAATTCCTCGTCTTGATGCGAACAACTCAGAATTTTCCTTCACTGAAGATTGATGAACTTTTCATACACCTCTTTTGTATGCTAACCTTTACGAACCAGTTTTTTAAAAAAGATAACATTACACACACATTATTAAACCTCGCAGTGAGTATTTTTCCTTGTTGTGTATGCTTACATCTTTTGTACAAGAAGACTACATTCCAGAGCTTTCATTCTGAAGAAACTTTTCCCGCCTTAGCCATCTTGGTTTCTTCGTTTTGGCGCGGAACTTTAAAATTCTATTAATTACTACATATTACTAACAGCCTACAGGCTAAAAACAGACCTTACCTTTTCTGATAGTCTCCACTGTTGAGACAAGATTATTTGTTATCCAAATAAAATTTCTTATCTGTTTTCCACCAGACTCATTTTGTCGTTTAATCCTGGCTATCTATATTTTACTATTTTTGTGCATGTGTTAAATGACCCTTTTTCCTCACTAAAGATCACTCATTCAATATTTTTACTTTGTTTGTGGATTCGGTAGTCATAAGTAGTGTCTGACACAAGGCCACCTTTTAATAAACCAGCACTGCATGCTACCGGGTCCGCAACACTACCTTCAGTAGGAGCTCCTATGGTTTTCTTTCTGTGTCTTCTGTCAATTCTGTGTCATCTGCATATATTATGTTGTTAAG